TATATATATATATATATATATATATATATATATATATATATATATATATATATATATATATATATATATATATATATATAAAACGCATATGAAAAGATTAACTCTGAAAAGATGAAAAAAAATGCCCGAGCTTTTGGCCTGTGAACCTTCTTCAAATACCAAAGCAAGAATAAACAAGCAAACTATAGGGATGCACGGTGACGTATGATGCATGTAAAAGGAGCACGAAGTTAGGTGTGCGTGATAAAGTTTACGTAATAATAAAACAAGAATAATATTCGTTGAGATACTCATTGTCTCTATAAAGTCCTTTTTCAAGTGTCTAATATTTTTATGAACTTATACTCGACAATCGGCTTTGTCTTGTGTCGCGTATGTGTCCTTTTAAAATGGTGACTGTTTGTGCTGTAGAGGTTCTTGATGCGAGCTTTAAGTTTCGAAAAGGACGGAAGGCAGCTTTTTTCTATCGTTTTTATTTTTAATTATTATTATTTCTATTATATCAATTATCTTCACTTGTACTTTTTATTACAGATACAAGCAAGGCAAGCAAGAAGTCTCTCTCAGTGAATCGCGAACTGCTGCTGCTACCACCCAGACATTAACTAGATATTGTAAATAGTATATATCGGCACATGAATCAATAAGATATCAGACAACTTTCACGGAAAATAAACTGAAATTAAAGCTGGATATTCTTTTATCTATTATCATTTCGCATTTAAGTTAAATCTCGGCAAGTACGTCTTCATCACCATCATACTTTAGTCGAAGTCCGAAGCTCAAACAGTGCACATCAAAACCGTAAATAGGAGATCCTTACGTAGGAAACCAAGCGCTAGAGAACGGCATTCTTGTTGGCGGTATTTTCACTAATTTATAGAATTATGAACAAATCTGGATGACTCTATCTATAACAAAGTAATTATTACCTAAAAATGAAAAAAAATTACTTTTCAGAATAATACAAGAAAAATTAATGAAAAGAACAAAGGCAAAATAATTTTAAATTGAAAATGGAACCTGAACAACAAATACAGCTTCAAGCAAATGGAAATGAAAATAGAATATACACACCCTTGACTTACGAGTTAAGCTACAATTAATTTTTAAAATAATGTCGGTACCTTGTCAATGTATGGCAGGACTACGTGAAAATGACACCCTCCCCTACACATACACTAAACACACACACACGCGCGCGCGCGCACACACACACACACACACACACACACACACAGGCTCATCGTCGAAGAGGGGGAGAGCCAAATTCAATCATTGAAGTTGTACATCGGTTCACTATTTGTCCTAAGTAAATCATCATAAAATAAACGAATCAGAACAAAATTATAATAAAGCGCGGAATGTGCAGACCAGCATCATCTACAACTCTGGGTTTGGATACAAAACTGCTCTTCCCCGTTGCCAACGCTCTCAATTCAGTATCTTTTAAAATAAAATGTTTTATTTTATATAAAAATACGTATAAAACAACAGATGTAATACTGTTCATTAACCCAAATATGTTATACATGTAGCATTATCAAAATAGAAATACCATATCTTTTTGAACATGAAAAGTCACATTAGAATCCCCCCCCCCCAGTCCCACCAATACGCCCCATTTCAAACTCAGCGTGTGTAGGAGTGTGAAAACTAAAGTAGATCAAAAGTTCACGGATAGGATATGCCATGTAAGGATTCATAGGGGAGATAGGTAATCTCCTTTTGCTCTTTTTTTTTTAACCTGTCAAATTTGAGAAGAAATACAGTGAATCGGTGTCTCTCATTGCACTTAGTCAATATAAATTCAAATATGTAGAATATCTTTCCTTTATCACGTAATTCGTCAGATGTAATAAAATACAGCATTTCCCTAGAAAACCTTTACCCCCTCTTGTGAATGCAATGTGCCGTCTGCAGAGCTCAGCGTCTGCTACCTCGCTGGATGCTTCGCGCTTCCCGGGAGCTGAACAGTTAACGCGGTCCAAAAAATTTTAGGGAGAGTCAGATGATATAGAGAGGGACCGTGGCATCTATAAAGTTCTACATGGTGAAGCTGGAGATGGGGGCCAGTTTTACTCTTTTCTTTCAAAGTTTGCAATATACTCTGACTTTCAGTACCCGCATGCAACCAAAATATTTTGCTGGTATCTTGATACATCTCCCACTTGTGTCTCCCCCCTAAAACGGTACACACTAAAAAATCAATAATCGTATGGCAATTTTATACAGGCAATTGACCTACTTTTATACCCAGGCAGCTATTGTCGAGTTTTATGGCTATGGAGTGAGAACGTGATACACGTCTGTGATATAAAAATTATTTCTAATTACATAATTTACAAACAGTGCATTTGGAATAAAGTTGTCCCGATTTGTGAGCAAAAGATGACATTGCTATTTGAAAATAATGAAAAAATTGGAGACCGGCCAAAATCAAGAAAAATGCATTTTTTCTCTTATATGCAAATTAGGTTCCTTGAAGTAATATNTAATTCGTTGAGAATGCGCTCTAAGACTGGCCGGAAGTGATGTTCAGAGATTTGTAACGACTTGGACCTAAATAGTCTTATCTAAATCTTATTATGTCCATGGTAACGATGATGATCTTGATGGCCTTGATGATCTTAATGGTGGTTCAAAAAATATTATCAAAGTTTTCAGTTGTCATCTGGCGAGAAAGAAATTTTCTGCACTAACACATTCCACGAGTGAAAAATAATTAGTAAATGCGCCTCAGAGATGCGCTGCAGACGTCACGGCTTTTGGGCGAAAATCGCACGCGACATTTCATCATAATTATTTGATATAGGTAAAAAAAACTGTGATTGAAAATGGATATCGGCAAAGCATTAAAATTTTGACAGTATTTCTGTTTGTGTTCGACAAGGATGAATTTAATTAGAATACCCTCTCTCT